ATACCAATCTTAAAGGGGGTTCGACACGGCGACACCGTGTCGTCAAGGCTGTTTACCGCCGCGTACAGTGTGTGATGAAATCACTGGATTGAAAAGAGAGGTATAAGGTATACGAGTTGATGGGGGATTCCTCTCGAAACTTCGTTTTGCGGACGATATTGTTCTCTTCTCGGGAAGTATTACTGAAGCGGAGCCGATGTCGAAGGAACTAAACGAAGTAGGGAAGCGGATAGGACTGCGAATCAACCTGAAGAAGACTCAGTTGATAAAGAACGCCATTTGCGAGCATCAGAAAATGGAATTAGAGAGTTCTCCAATCGCGGAGACATCTTCTTACGTATATCCGGGCGTTCAATAAAAATGGAGAAGGATCTAAAAGAGGAACTAAACAGGAGGCAAAGAGCAGCGGCCGCCTTCGGGTCTTTAAAGGAAGCCCCAGACCAGCTGACGGATCCAGAGCTCCGAGCTCACCTGTTCAATTCAACATTCTCCCTGCGCTTTGTTATACAGCAAAGACGTGGTCTGACACGGCGTCTACGTCAAAGGCTCTCGAAACGACCCACAGAGCGCTAAAACGATGTCATCTGAAGTGCAACCGATGTGCTCAACATCTCATCAATTTCTCGTCTTCGCGATCCAGCGGAATACGTCTCTAACGCAAAGCATCGATGGGCTGATCATATGATGAGAAGAACAGACGATAAATGGACACTAACAACTCTGGAATGGATTCCTCGCGAAGCAAAACTTTCTCGAGGTAGGCCACCGACCAAATGGACTGACGTGTTTGTTACACGGATGGACCAGCTAAATTCTCAGCTGGTAACGAGTAAGGGACTGGACCTCGCGAACGTCGCGGCCGCAGTTTAATATCAACATCATGGATGACGCTAGCGAGATACAGAAACGGATGGAAACAGTGCTGTGGCCTGCACGACAAGTGAAGACAGGCCATCTAAGCATCTCAGTAAGTATCTAAGTAAGTATCATAACAGGGCTGTCAGGAATAAAAAAAATCTGCCCAGCAACAGCTCATAATAATAACTTTAAATGTCATATCCCTTTAGTTGGAGCAGCTGCTATCAACTAGACTTCATTTTCCCTTATTCTTAGCTAATATTTGCAGAAATTCTAGCGGATAAGAACCACTCCTTTATAGTGCA